AACGTCGCAGGAAATTCAAGTTTCAATTACTTGTTATTCAAATAATAGCAGGATGGCCATATTATGAAATGATTACCATCTATGCCTCGTGTACCCCCAACTTTGTGCGGGTGACTGCGAACCAAGCATTAAAGTCTCCAGGCATACTCGACATGCGCATCGTGGCCATGACTTAAGATTCGGATTCTTTGCAAACGTAAAATCAAAACGTTCTTGTCGTTTGGATGAAATAATTGACAAAAATGTACGCAGAAATAATTACGAATGCCCGATGATTTGTAATATCCACGAAAACGTATTGAATTTGTTTAATTGTTGGTATAAGTTATTTTGTTGTCAGTTGTTTTACTAAGAAATCACGTGTACGTCACGTTTCGTTACAAGAGAAGAAGATTAAGAAAAGAACGAACGAAATCTTTCGAACTACTTTGGTTAAACAACTCGTGCGGAAATCTGCAATTTAAACGATTTAATATCTACTTTCAATCAGTTTTAATAAATATTGCAAGTAAATTGCTGTACGTGTAATTGTCATCGGTTCTATAATGGCCAGTGATTTCTTGGGGAAAACGTAATTGCTTTGCGCTCGATATGAAAATTCGATACACATACTTGTGAATTCCGTTCAAGCCGAATAGTACGATTCTAGTCACGCTTCGATTGAAAAAGAAACGCTGCAGGTGAAATCTCTGTCAGTCTTACAAATGTTGGTTCTCGATGGTCGGCATTTGCTGTACAATGAAAACGGTGCAGTTACTACTGGACGTCGTTGTCGTAGCGAAAATACCGTTTTCAAATTTTCTAATTATCTGAATTGCAGACAGAAGCAAAAAGAAACGTTACTTTAAAGCATAGAAAGGGGAAGTTAGTCGCGGATTATTTCAAGAGCATTTTGAGTCGTCTATTTTAAACAAATCGTTTCTAACATGTGAAGAATATCTAATCTTTTGAAAATTGAAATCGTTCCCCTGCAGTAAAATCTCCTCCGCAAGGATATTTTGTGTTGTCGAAGTTATTTTGTCCTTTCAATCGAAAATATGCAATTTTACAACGAACAGAGAAATACGTAAAAACTAAACTTCGAAAGTGTTTTGACAGATAAGAACGTAAAATATTATTATTGTTCGTCGTGAATATTTATTTTCTATTTAATGTTCTTTTGTTATATCGATTTGAAATAAACATCGACGTCGTAGAAAACACGTACTGCTCGAGGACGGAAATTTTGAACGCTATATCCGTGTAAAATCTTTTGAGAATCAAAGAACAACAGGCTGTTAAACGGTAACCATAGAAGTTTCTACTAGCAGCGAATGACCGCGTTCACGAGCGATAGAAAGTTTCCGGTTTTAGTGAAATAAACGAATAAAAAGGAAAAAAAGAAAGAAATAAAGCGTGGCCAATGTTGAAAATGAAACCGCGTCATGCATGATTTTGCAGAACATAATATCGTATTACGCTAAATATGAAAGTTCGATTAGCTAGAGAAAAACAATACGAACAATATCATATAAAATTGTGAAATTGTTTCATCTAATACAAATAATATTTAATTAGGGAACGTAGTTATGAATTTATCGTTTCATTTATGTGATTATTAAGTAAAGTATTTCATTTCATATTTATAGAGCGAATTTAAAGAATGTTCTCACGGAGGTTCGTTTTCCTTTTTGCAATATGAGCTAACTGTTTTCTCGAACTCTCGTTGAAAAATTACTCGTTTATGACAGTGCATTTATTTACTTGGAACGGACACGCACACGAACGTATTGCTACGGTAAACATGAATTATGAGTACTGTCATTTACGTCTCCTAAGTAACATCCATTTCTCTGGGATTTCCTAGTGCAACTGTATTTTCGAAAGGATAATTAAACGACAAAGTATCCTTCTCCCATTACCTTTAATCGCATATTATTTACCACTCTACGTTTAATATCTCAAACACGCTTAAGAGATCAAAACATAGAAATATCTCGAAAATATTTTATTTAAGATTTAACTTTGAAAGATCTTTGAAACTTTCTTCGAAGTGAAAGCTTCAAAAGGTTCGTTCGTTAACTTCCTTTACGGAGAAGAGAAAAATTGAAAACAACGCGAGAAAGAAACGCGACAACACGATCAGCCTTAAGATCACGTTCAATGTTTTGCGCGGACTTTCATTTCACACCGACACTTCTGACAATTGCAACGGTTATTGACAGAGAAAGTTTGCGGTTAATTAAACGACAAATTCTTTCGCCAATGCACGGCAGCGCGTTTCGTTTCGTGGAAGAATATATATATCTCAGTGTTGTTGAGAAAACACGTTCTGAGAGCCCGTTTATCCCTTATCTAGTTACAGAATATCACGCTCGCGGTAATGTAGCAGATATAAAAAAGCGGCGTGATTGTTTCCACCATCGGTTACATGCTGTCTCTTTCGTTTTTATACGCGACTTTTGATCGATCAAGCAAATAAACAGACGCGCACGTCTATGGCACAGCACGGTGTACGCGCAATTAAACGTATCCAGAAACTTTCACGGAAGTGCGTTGGCTGCACGGATTTCCGCGCTCTTTTATAAAACACCGGTCGAACAACGCTCTCGATTCGAAATGCATCAAAGCCAGAACGATTTTTGTCATGGGTATAATTCATCGTGCATTTCCGCTGCATGACGAAATCTATCTCGCTCGATCTATCATCTTTATCCTGCAATTTTGCAAAACTCGGCTGATAAGCAGAGCTAATTTCTGTGAATTGTTTTACCTTACATGAAACTTGATTTCTATCAAGTTATGTAATTCTCCTTGCAATTTTCAACGGGAGATCGTATCTTGGATATGAATAAATGAAAATAAGGAAAGTAGCCGTGGAAAATGATGATACGAATGTACATATATACGTTTGTACGTATAGAAATCATTGTACAGAATTATCATTATACATACGTCTATAGGAGAATTGAAATTTAATATTAATGGGAATTTCAAGTGACTAAACTTCTGTTCTTAATTGACACAGAGAGTTTGTTTGTTTTTTGTAAATCTAACTCGTTGCTTGTATCTATTAAAATTTCCTATTTAGAGGAATGATCTAACTCATCGTGTAATTTCTATTTTTAGATTATTGGAGTTCTTACCACGTATGTAAAAGAACTTTCCTACGCAAAAAATATAGCTTGTTCTTACAGCAGTTCTGTTCGCGCTGTGCTGGTTTGTTAAGATGCACAAAACCGAACGAAAACGGTGAGTTTATTTATTGTTAATATATTAGCAGGCTGTTTAGTGTGAGCTGATTATCAACTGTCCCTTCGATTTCAATGCAATCTGTTTGAAAATCAAATGTTTTCTCTATTACCCTAAGTCGATGAAAAATCTCCATCGACTTCGATCGTTTTTTGGACTGAAGCTTGGGTCAAATCGTTGACATTTCTTGTCGACTCCATGCGGAGTGCATTTCCTTTTTAAATATATTTGAGAACTTCGTCTGAAAGAATACCACATGGTCTATGGCACACTGTATGCTATTGAATTTTACACGGACATAATCTTTCGTGTAATCCAATCCTCCAGCTCTAACGAGTCAGCGAGGCCTTAGTCCTCTTGGTGGTTTCTCTCCTCAAAAAAATAGCGCGAGTCCCCCGCCATGTTGTACGTATAACCGTGTGAAATTTGTCTCTATTTATCCATCATTATGTACTCGTAAAGTGGTTTTAATATAATCGCCGAGAGATTATTATCCAGAGATAAAGATAAAATATAATTGAAATGAGATAGTTTTTTTTTTTTTTATAATTACACAGTCGGTTAGTTGCAAAGTAGTTTTAATTACCTACGATTATTATTGAAATTACTACTAGCAAGAAAACACCTTCGCTTATATACTGCGAACTTATTCCGAGACCCACGTCCTTGCATACATTTTTACAACTTCGTCGTGACAGTTCTCCTGCGCTGGCCTTGCTGCGCAAAACACATTCATAAATTTAATCTCCTCTGCGCAACCGGCACGTCAGAATTTTATCATCAACCATTTCTACTGTTATGCTACCTGTTCTATGCCGATCGAGAACAAATCACTTCGTCGATATTCCATCTTTGGCAAAATCTGTTACGTAAGCTCGTTTCATTCTACTAATTGTGGTTAGCACGATGGTAAATGTATCAACCGCGAAGTCTCGTTTAAAGATCAGAATACAATTTATAAGGCAACACTAACGAGAACTATATTATATAACGCTCGTTAAAGAAAAAAAAAACGAAAGAAAAAATGAAAATTTGTTATTTACATTATTTACATTATACGTCTGTCCGGGTAATTTTTTTTTTTTTTTGTTTAAACTTTTTCATTTCGAAGCTTATTCTTCGTGCATTTTTTTATAATTAATGATTTTTGAATATATATCTCTTTTTTTTTTGTTTAAACTTTTTCGAAGCTTATTCTTCGTGCATTTTTTTATAATTAACGATTTTTGAATATATATCTCTTCTAATTTTAGAATATTTCTCTCGTAAACTATATTCTTTCTACTAATTCAATATTTGAAAAAATGTCAATTAACAATTTGTATGATACTATTGTATGATACTACTGACAATGCAATCGTTATCGATGCTCAAACAGGCGTACAATCACGCACCGTGTCGAATTGTTTTTAAACTGCAGGCCTGTCTCTTTTTTGTAAATGGTTCCATTTCCAGTCGTTTAGGACTATAAGGACGATATCGTTGATCAGTAACGAATTACTTATAATTTATAATATTGAAGAATATTTAACTAAAATAAATGTAGAAGAACATTTAACTAAAACGAAAGTTGCAAGTTCAGCATTCTTGTAAAACCATATACAACACAATGCTTCTAAAAACCTCTGTCTTCTAAATAAATCTAAATCTCGAACAGTCGTGGAATATGTTGACCAGACAACATCTATCATAGATTTATCATACTTCTATATTGAAACGAAAGGAAGGGCTTCGCTCGGCAGCCTTCCACGAAAACAGAGGTCTCCTGTTAATGTTCTCAATACGAAGAAAACTGGAGGCTTACCGGTGGCGGTTCGGCAGAGGAGTACACCTCGCTGGGTGCGTAATTACTATGAGGCGGATGAGGCATCTTCTCCGAGACGACGGCTACGGTCGCCAAGGAATCCGGCTGTTCCTTTTCCATCTTCCCTGAAACCTTAATCTTCTTCCTTCAAAAGCACTGAACGACAAATCGACTCTGACTACGCCCGATACCCTTGCTGTATATGTCGTGGTATCTCAAGGAATCCTCTCTTTCTCGTTTCCTCGATCGACGAGAACACTTTGATGTCGATCGCTCGACGAATCGACGAGCAGTGAGCGGCCAGCACCGTCTGACACCGCTAGCTTAGGGTTACCCCCACCAGCTGGTTGAAGCTGCTGAACCTTCTGGTACACCTTTCTGATGGTTATGTCTTCTGGTACCAAGGTGTACCTTAGCGTGTTCTCGTTGTCGGACTTTCTAAACAGCGTCAGCGTGTAACGTCCGTGGGTGAGACCGAAATGTCCGTGGCTACGTCTGTACGTGTGTACAGGCATGAAGCAGGTGTGCATACGTGTAGATATTACCTGTGT